TCAGATTGAAGATGAAAGATAAATGAGAAAGGAAGGAGTGAGCAGAAGGATGACAAGAAAAAAAATAGTAGCAGGAGACAGGAAGATAGGAAAGGGGAGGGAAGACAGAAAGAGGAAGAGATATAAAGAAATAGACAGACATGCAAACAAAACTGAGAAACAAAGAAAAAGAAACAAACGCCAGTACACAAAATCAACAACGAAAAAAAAAGGAAATAAAGATAAAAATAAAAAATCAGAAAAAAAAGAGAAAACAAGAGGAGAAGAGAACCAAAAAGAGGAAGCGAAAAAAACAGAGATAATGAGAAAGAAAAGAAGAAAAATAAACATTAAAACACGCCAAAAGAGAGATGCAGACAACCCACAACGTCGGAACTGCATTGACGGCCAGATCGAAACTAATTAACCTGACTAATGAGGCACTGTAATTACCTGTAGAAGTGAAGGAGGTAACGGGTTGTTGTGAAAGCCTTTTGAAGGGAGGGGGAGAGGGGGGAGTGGGAGAGGGGAAGAGAAGGGGAAGAAGGAGAAAGGGTAGAGGAGATGGAAGGATGAGGGGGAGGGAGAGGGAAAAGGAAGAGAGGAGGGAGATGGGGAGAGGAGTGAGAGGGAGAGAGCGATGGGGAAGGGGGGTAGAGGGAGAGAGAGGGAGATGGGAAAGAGAAGGAGAGAAAGAAGAAAGGGTAAAGGATATGGGGGGAGAGGGAGTGGGGAAGGAGAAAAGAGAGGGAGAGATGGGGAAGAGGAGAAAGAGAGGAGAGAGAGGGATATGAGGAAGAGGAGATGGAGGGAGAAGGGAAAGAGGAAGGAGAGAGAAAGGGAAGATGAGTAGAGAAGAGAGGGGAGATGGGATAGGGAGATGGAGCTAGAGGAGAGAGAAGGAAGAGAGAGATGGGGAAGGAGAGGAATAGAGAGATGGGAAGACGAGTGAAAGGAGAAAGGGGAAAGGGAAGGAGTGAGGGGAAATTAAGAGGGTAAGATATAGGAAAAGAAGATTAAAAAGGGTCTCTAACTTCTCTCTCTCTCTCTCTCTTTTTCTTTCTATCTCTCTCTATCCGTCTTTCTTCCTGTCTCTCTTACCTGCCTCTCCTCTCTCTCCCCTCTACCTCTCTCTCTCTTCCTCTCTTCTCTCTCTATCTATCTATCTATCTTCTATCTATCTATCTCTATCTATCCTTTCCCTCCCACGACCAAATCCATCTTCCTTTCCCTCCAAATATTCTCTTCCATTTCTTCCCTTCTTCCCTGTTACTTTATTCCTCCACATTCCATACTCCTTATTCCACACAAACCTATCCACTGCCTAACCCCAACTTTCCTTACCCTTCCCCTTTAATACTTTACCCTTACCCCCAAATTCCTTTACCCTTCACCCTTCCCTTTTTAACCCTTTACCCCAACCTCCTACCCTTTCACCCTTATTTTTTTTTACCCTAAACCCCCCCTTTTTTACCCCCAAAACTTCCTTACCCTCACCCTAATAAAAACCCTTAGGGCCTTTTAACCCCAAAACTTTTTTCCTTTTTAACCCTCCACCNCCCTCTTCTCCCCCTCTTTCCCCTTTCCCGACTCTCCCTCTCTCCTCTTCTTCCTCTTTTCTCCTCCCTCTTTAATCTCCTTCCCTTTGCCCCCCTCCTAACTCTCACCTCTCCCCCTCCCAACCTCCTCTCTCCTCTTCTCTCTCTTCTCCCTTTTTACTCTCCGTCTCTCCCCCTCCCGCTTCTCCCTCTTCCTCTTCTCCCTCTCTCCCCCTCTTCCCCTCCCGACCTACCTCTCTTCCTCTTCTCTCTTTTCTCCCTTTACTCTCCCTTCCCTTCGCCCTCCGCTAACTCCTCCCACTGTCTGCCCGTCCCCTCCTTCTCTTTCTCCTCTTTCCCCCTCTCTCTTCACATCTTCCTATTTCTCTCCCTCCCAACTTCTCCTTCTCTTTTCGCCCTCTCTCATCTCTTCCCCTCTTCTTTCACCCTTTTCGCCCTCTTCTCACCCCCAATTATCTTTCTCCTCCTTCTCCGCCATTTTGCCCCTCTTCCAATTTCTCATTTCTCCTCTCCTCCTCTCCTCCCAACTCTCCCCTTTCCTCCCAATCGTAAAGGCTCTTCCTCTCTCCCTGTCTCTTGTAATCCTCATTTCCGTTATCTAATTTCTCTCCCCTCTCCCTTTTTCCTCTTCATTTCCTTTCTCTCTCTCTCTTGCTTCTCCTCTCCCCTTCTCCCTCTCGCGCTCACTTCTTCTCCCTTTCCCTTCTTTTCCCTTTTCCATGTCCGCCCTCCCTTCTATTCCCCTCTCCTCAACTCCTTCTTCTTTCTCATTTCATCTCTCTCTTCTTCCGCCCTCCTCTCCTCCTTCCCTCCCCCCTCCCTCGAGAAGCAAGGTCAAAGAACTTCCCCAGATTTTTATTTTTTACTTCCTTGTTATCTTCGTTTCCCTCCTTCTTCCCCCTTTTAACTGAAACTCCAGTCTCTCCCTCCCTCCTTCCCCAAATCTCCATCTTTCCCTCCCCCTCCCTTCCTCCCTCCTTCCCCAAATCTCCATCTTTCTCCTCCTCCCTTCCTCCCTCCTTCTCCAGGTCTCCATCTTTCTCCCCCCTCCTTTCCTCCCATCCTTCTCCAAAGATCTCCCATCTTTCACCCCCCTTCCTCCTCCCCTCCTTTCTCCCCCAAATTTCAAATCTTCTCCCCTCTCCTCCGCTCCCCTCTCTCCTTCCCAGACTCATCCATCACTGTCGCCACTCCTCCCGTTCCCTCTCGAGCAATCCATCCCGCTCTTCTTCACTCCCCCGACCACTTCACCTTCCTCCCCCTTCCCCCTCCCCCCTCCCCATCCCTTCCACCCTCACCCCCCCCCCTCGCCATCCCCTTACTCACCCTCCACCACCCTTCCCCCTCACCCCCCTGCCCCTCCCGAAGCAGATCAGATGCTGCCGACCAGGGCCCGCGCGCCCTCACCACGCACGGCCCTAATACGCACGACACGACGAACGAACGACGAACACCAACACGAAGCGGCATGTGCTTTCGGCGAGCTAATTTTAAGAATTCCGTGGAGAAGAGAAAGAGAGAAGGGAAAGAGAGAGAGGAGAGAGAGAGAGAGAGAGAGAGAGAGAGAGAGAGAGAGAGAGAGAGAGTATGTATATGTATGTATGTATAGAGAGAAAGAGAGAGAGAGAGAGAGAAAGAGAGAAGAAGAGAGGAGGAGAAGAGAGAGAGAGAAGAGAGGAGGGGGAGAGAGAGAGAAGAGCTAGAGAGTTAGAAGAGAGAGAGAGAGGGGAAAGAGAGAGAGAGAGAGGAGGAGAGAGGTAGAGAGAGAGAGAGAGAGAGATAGAGAGAGATGAGAGAGAGAGAGAAGAGAGAGAGAGAGAAGAGAGAGAGAGAGAAGAAGAGAGGAGAGGGAGGGGGGGGGGGGGGAGTGGGGGACGCTATATCTGTCCATTCTCCCAATACCTCCCGAATGAAATCCATTACATCTACTCTCTTCCGGTCCCTCTTCATTTATTCGCCGCCTCCCTTCTCCCCGGGCCTCTCCCCTTCCCTTCCACACCCCTCCCCATCCCTCCTTCCTTCCCTCCCCTCTCTCTCCCTCTTTCCCTTCCCCCTTTAAAGCGCCTCCCTGTCTTCCCCCCCCTCTTTCCATTTCCCATCACCCACCCTCTGCCAACCTCGCCTCACCCCTGCCAAACCCTTAACTTCACCCCACCATCTTCCATTTCCATCCATCCGCCCGCCTCCCCGCCCGCTCTAACCTCCCTCACCACCCCGCCATCCTTGCCATTTCCATCACCCTGCGCGAGCCCCCGGTCTCTGCTGCCAGGCCGGAGATGGATACGGTCTGGGCACCTTCCAACTCCTCCACCCCCCCACTCCTCCATTTCCACATCCCCCTTCTCCCTCTCCGCTCCAACCTCCCTCACACGCCCCCCTGGCCCTCTTCCATTTTCCATCACCCCACCCCTTTCCAACCTCCTCAACCCCCACCCTCCTTCATTTCCATCACCCCCACTCCTTCCAACCTCCCTCACCCCACTCCATCCTTCCATTTCCCATATCCCCTCCCACCCCCCGCTTCCTCCAACCTCCCTCACCCTTCGCACCATCCCCCCTAATCCTTACCATTTCCATCACCCTCCACCCCCTTTTCTGCCCAACCTTCCTTACACCACCCATCCTTCCATCCACCCCCCTCTCCCCAACCTCCCCTACCCCCCCCCCCAACCCCACCGTCCATTTCCATCCCCCTCCCCCACCTCGCTTCCAACCTCCCTCACCCTCCCCCTTGCCTTCCATTTCGCATCACCTCGCCTTTAGCAGCACTCACCCTCCCCCCCCGGCATCCACCCTCCCTCCCGAATAGAGGAGCCCTCTCTCTATATCTTCCGCTTTCCACGAAATTCTAATTAAAGGCAATCTGATCTCCCAAAACTTCCAATAATTCTATGTGAAAAAGATGACATGAAACTCTTGACATGGTGAGGAGGGGGGTGGGAGGGAGTAGGGGGAAGGGGGGTATGGGGGAAGGGGGGCGGGCTTTGTCAAGGTTGGCAGAGAGAGAGAGAGGAGAGAGAGAGAAGAAGAGAGAGAGATGAGAAGGAGAGAGAGAGGAGAGAGAGAGAGAGGGTGGGAGGGAAGGGAGGGAGGGAGAGGGGGAGGGAGAGGGAGGGAGGGAGGGAGGAGGAGGAGGGAGGGGGAAGGGAGGGAGAGAAGAGGAGAGGAGAGAGAGAGGAGAGAGAAGAGAGAGAGAGAGAGAGAGAGAGAGAAGGAGAGAGAAGAAGAGAAAGAGAGAAGAAGACAGAGAAAGAGAGAGCAAGACAGACAGAGACAGACAGGACGACAGAGACAGACAGCGCAGACAGAACAAGAAGCGATACAGACAGATAGCAAACGAGAGGAGGCGAGAGAATAAACCACAAAACCAGCAGCTGCAAACACAGAGAATTTCCTCGGATATAACTACGGTAAACTTGTTTTGCCAGCCGAAGGAATCTTCCGTCGGGGGTTACACGTGTCCTAAAATCGACATCTCTGAACTCTTGGATTGATAGGTGCGGGATCCCTGATAGGTTGACAGGCTCGATTAGGTTTACAGGGTCCGATAATTGACACGGTCATAGGTTTAACAGTCGATAGGTTGGACAGGTCGATAAGTTGACGGTTCGATAGGTTGACAGGGTCGATAGGTTGACCAGGAGTTCGATAGTTGACAGGTCGATTAGCTTGGAGCGAGGGTCGATAGTTGACAGGGTCGATAGGTTGACAGGTCGATAGGGTTTGACAGGTCGAATAAGGTTTGGACAGGTCGATAGGTTGACAGGTCGATGGGTTGACAGGTCGATGGGTTGACAGGTCGATGGGTTGACAGGTCGATGGTTTGCAGTGTGTCGATAGGGTTGACAGTCGATCGGGTGGACCCAGGTCGATATGGGTTTGACACGGGTCGATGGGTTTGGACAAGGTCGATGGGTTTACAGGTCGATGGGTTGACAGGTCGATGAGGGGTTGACAGGTCGATGGGTTGAACGGCGTGTCGATAGGTACATGGTCGATGGCTTGGCAGGAGGTCGAGATAGGTTGACAGTCGAAGTTGAACGGTCGGATGGGTTGACAGGGTCGAATGGGTTTGACAGGTCGATTAGGGACAGGTCGATGGGTTGACAGGTCGATGGGTTGACAGGTCGATAGGTTGACAGGTCGATGGGTTGACAGGTCGATGGGTTGACAGGTCGATTAGGTCGATTAGGTTTGACAGGTAGATAGGTTGAACATCGATAGGTTACAGTCGAAGGGGAGATGTTCGGATGGGTTTGAAGGTCGATAGGTTGCTAAGGTCGATTGGGTTGACAGGTCGATGGTTGAAGGAGCAGGGCGGAGGTTGAACAGTTCGATGGGTTTGACAGGTCGATAGGTTGACAGGTCGATGGGTGACAGGTCGAGAGGGGGTTAGCAGTCGATAGGTGACGGTTCGATAGGTTGACAGGTCCGATAGGATTGACAGGTCGATGGTTGACAGGTCGATAGGTTGGACATAGGTGATGGGTTGACAGGTCGGATAGGTTTGACGGTCGATAGGCTTGAGCGAGGTCGATGGTTCGACAGGTCGATAGGTTGTACCAGGTTGTTCGAAGTTTGACAGGTCGATGGTTGAACAGGTCGATAGGTTGACAGGTCGAGGGTTGACAGGTCGATAGGTTGACAGGTCGAGTGGGTTGACAGTCGATTAGGTTGGACAGGTCGATGGTTGACAGGTCGATAGGTTTGACAGGTCGATGTTTGAACAGGTGTCGATGGGTATGTTACAGGTCCGAGAGGTTGAACGAGGGTGTCGATGGGTTGACAGGTCGATAGGTTGACAGGTCGATAGGTTGACAGGTCGATAGGTTGACAGGTCGATGGTTGACAGCAGGGTCGATAGGTTGACAGGCGATGGGTTGGACAGGGTCGATAGCTTGACAGGGTGATGGGTTGGACAGGTCCGATGGGTGAGCAGGTCCGATAGGTTGACAAGGTTCGATAGGTGACAGGTCGATAGGTTGACAGGTCGATGGGTTGACAGTGTTCTCGATAGGTTTTGATCAGGTCGATGGGTTGACAGGAGTGATGGGTTGAACAGGTCGATGGGATTTTTAACAGGTTCGATAAGGTTGACAGTGTGGTTTGGACAGGTTCGATGGG